ACAAATACAGGAATACATTTTAGGGAGGGCAGAAATACAAATACAGAAATACTGATAGTGCAATACATTTTCCAATTTTTTTTTTTTTTTAGACGCCAACTGAGATGAAGCTTGAAGTGGATGTTTTCGATCCCGAAATTACTTTCCTGTAGGCTTGGAACTTTGCCTTGAAGGTAGTGGTTTCGGACGACAAGGAGTCTTCAATGGGCCCAAAAAAACGTTTGATCAAGGGCTGACCGCGGTCCCTTCCATGACATCCTGTCTGTCTGGCGAGGGAATCCTGTCAACATTTATCACATGATGTCACGGTGGAATGAACTAGTATTCTTTATCTGTAGGTGTGGCCTTGACCATGAAACTTTACCACGCTGCTGTATGAAAGGACAATACGTACTTTCGTTGTAGGTTACCTAGTTGAAGATCGTGCTTGCAGTGTCATTTGTAATTTTTGAGAATAGTGGACCACCTGAAGCATCTTGGCATACATGTCTTATCTTCTGTTACGGTTGAAAAAACGATACGGTAGCATCCCGGTTCTGAAGGTCCTTACTACCGACCCTCCGCTACCGACGCACGGATTGCAGTCCTCAAGTTTTGCCTAGCATAATCCAAACAGAAGCCTCGTGAATTGCGAGCTGATATTGCCGGCACAGGTGCGAGCTGTCCGAAAAACAGCGGTCTCGAGACGAGTCGCGGGAGTACGTAGTCTAGGATGGCACAGCGAGGCCACTTCTGGCCTTCTTCTGGGTTTCGGATCACCAGAGCAGCGGGTCACGTTCGCGTAGGCTGATGACGTACCCTTGAGCCGTGCAATGTTACGGACGCAGCCGCAGATGCATTCGAATGTGTTGAACTTCACAGCGTGAGTCTTCCTACTATTTCAAGTCAATCACCGCCATGCTCGTGCTGCAACGGAATGAGACTTAGCTTTGCCGGCTGGGTGTATTCTGTACGCTAAGGCGAGAGAGACGGTTAGCAGCGGGCATTGAATGCCAGCAAACAATCACCCAAGAAATCCCTACCTAAGGACCTGCGGCACAAGATCCTCTGACTCCACTCCTGGCACGCTACCTGGTTCGAGTCCCCGACTACGAAACACTTCTCAGAAGAGAGGAAGAGAGGACGCATAGAAAAATAGTTTTCAGAATCAAAATTAACCTTGGTCAGCATAGTAACAATGCCCCATCATTTCCTTGACCATAGTTTTGTTTAACCCGAGACTGGGGTATTTCGGAAAAGGGACGAGAAGAAAAGAGGCCACAAGGAGGCGACGTCTCCTTGTGGCCTCTTTTCTTCTCGTCCCGCGGTGCGAAGAATCAGAAAGTATTCATTTGACGGGCATCCGAAAGGCTGCATTATTCCGCGGCCACCGTGCCCGCAGCTGACAGTGTCGCCGGCGGCCAAATGGCGAAACTGTGCGAGAGCGAAAAAAATTATCTTCTTGCCATGACACCACGGTGTACCGGCCGGTACACCGTGGCCCTTCTGCACGAGCGACAACCGTGCTGGAGCTCTGCGCGTGTGGAGCATGAGGCGGCACGAGCCGTCTTTGCCGTGCCCACGGGTCGACGAGTCATCTGCCGGCGCCGCTTGAAACCTTAGTGAGAGAGAGAAAGAGAGTGAAAAGCGAACTTTATCTGCACTGCGCAAGGAGCACGCTATCCTCACCTGAAGAGTATTATCTTACACCGTGGTCGTGGTCAAATGCAAGTGTGTGAACGGGCCTCCAGTCCGTCGGCTTTAGGCGGGGGGTCGGCAGTTGTAGAGGAGGCTTTCCGCCCCCTTTCTCGTACGTTTACATAGAAATAGTTCAAATAACTGGACGAGAGATATCCCCCCTCTCCCCTTTTCCGTCTGAACTGCCCCTGTGCATCCCAGATACACTTACGCCAGCTCCCTCTGGTCTTGTCTCCAGCCCCACCAACGACGACGAGATGTGCGCCTTTTATTTCATGTACTACGTGGAAGTGGACGAGATAACGAGTATGGAAGAGTGCCGCTCCCAGGGACCCCCATCGTACTACTGGCGAAAGGACCCCTTGCTCAGGAACCTGATCACATCGGATATTGACAAAGATGCCAGCACCCTTGACTGAAGCGGGGCACTAACCAGGTTTCAACAACTAGGACTTCCTTGTGTGTAGTGTCCCTAAGTGTCAGTATTATTTGTTTACTCGTTTTGAACTGGTGAGAGGGTGTAGATGATGACTTTGTTTATGCAGGACATGTTCCGGGCGGACTGACTCGACAGAGTAATAAAGGCGTTTCTTGTCCAATTTATATTAAATTCTGACACTTAATGTGAGAATGTTTGTGCTAAACACAAACATTCTCAAGAACATTTCAACTTTATAACATATGTTTCTAACCAACTTTTTTTGTAATACCACCATCGGGAGCTATAGAACTAAGTATGTCTGCATGCTTACAATCTGTAGAAGAAAAGTACTATTACAATTGTAACAACATTCTAGAAGAAAAAAAAAGTTATTACTAGGTAAAATATTTTACTGGTAATTAAAAATGCGACAATAACTATTTCGCCTAGGTAATTGGAAAGTTTTGTAGCCAACGTTTTCCAGAAATTTTAGTCATGTTGCACTTTGATTTACGAGGTCTCTGACCCTCTACAAGTATTCAGGTCCAAATTATAAATTCAGAGACACCATTAGAAATCTTTGAGTTTTATGAAAAAGTTAATTCTGAAATCAGGAAAAGCTTCCCAAAACCTGCTCGTAACAACCTGGATATGGAATTTTAAATCGATGTAATAAATAAATGTGCTCTTTCCAAGCATAGTAATTAAAACATATGCTGTATGTCACTTTCAGATTTAAAAACAAAATTAAGCGAAAAGGTGTTTTTTGCTGCATCTTTTGTTTTTCAAGACCCATGAAACAGCAACGGCCTACACTCAACGATGGCCGGTCCCATAAAAAATTCAAGTGCCGATTCCACATTTGAGATTGGCAGCTGGTGAAAGGAAAGGCTGTTCTGAGGATGTATGGACATGATTGGCGACTTTCAACGCATGCTTTTTAACCTACTTTTTCACGGCTGTGTGTTTTGGCCACCAGGCGCTGCGAATACCCAATTCGCTCGAGAAGGCTCGAGAGCGAACCTGCCGCCAGAGCTTTCTGTTTTAGCCAATAGGGGCCGTAGATTTCGCCAACGTCCCCAGTATTCCGCTCATCCCCAAGCTGGCAGTGCAGTGGGAGCTACGTACCCCTTCGGACAAGTGACCGCTTGCCCACGTGATCACACCTCCTGCCCGAACCCACGTGCAGAGGGCAGGATCAGGTGGTGAAAGGGAGGCGGCCGATTGGTCTGGTGGCATGTAGCTCCCATTGCACCGTCAGCCGAGGATTGAACAGTGCCGCTCTCGCCAACCACGACACAAAGAAGCTCTACCTTATGAAATGACAGAGCGCAGGTCAGCTGGTGATAATCGTAATCTAACACCTGAGACTGGCACATAAAAAAATCACGAAGTTCTAGTTGAAGAAAAAGACTTTATATACATTCTCCTACTGTTGTCGTTTTTTTCGACCTAAAGGTTTTTTGTTTTGTTTTCACACCACAGTTTTAGGTGTTACATTGCTATTATTCTATCTTATGATTGTTTAACAAAAATCGAGAAAAACAAGCTGTTCGAAATGGCTGAGATTTTTCCACTTCTTAAAGGGGCAGTGCAACAATATTCAATTGGAATGTTTTTTTCACTTTACACGAGCTTACTGGCACTAATGCGACTCAAGGATACTTGCATGCAACGCCACTGGCCAAAAAGCTTCTTTGTTGCTGTGTAATTTCAAGGAAAAAAGCGAGCGTTTTCATTTAACCTCTCCTTTGCAAAACTTGATGACATAGCTGGGCGCTTGCACTACCGCCCAGTGACGATATTTGAATGCCACTCATAGATTGGACCCTAGCATTGCGTGGTCACTCGATTTGGGGTTGTGATAATCAATAGCTCGAGAAGCATTCGTGTAGTGGCCAGTGTCCATTCGCTGCAATGACGAGAATAGCCGAACCATAACAATGTCTAGAACTCAGCGCGTGTCCTGTGCTTTGCCAACCCCAGCACGTGGCAATGATATAATCGGCTCCAGATCACGTGGTCGCTTGTTCTGGCTCCGAGTTGAGGGGGTGAACGCTGCTCATTTTTCTTTATTTTTTTCTGCAACTTCCATTGCATGTGGTGAAAAAAGAAGCGGTGTTTCACAGGTCATTATAAGTCAGGGATCCGCTCTAAGCATTAATTGCGCAAAGTGCACAAGTCGTGGCTTCGCCCCTTTAAAAGAAACTCCAGAGCCTGGGAAAAATATGGTGGGTTAGGTTCTGTCTTTTCTTGGGGGGCTATCTTGGTGCTTCACAGCTATTTGACCTAGTGTGTATATCTTATTCAACATTCAGCTGCAATTAAAATGTGTGTTTGTCCATCTGTTTAGTTAGTTCCCCAAGGTTTGGGCTTCCACCACAATCGTATACCAGCTCGCTGGCTTCGTTACTTTTAGTTGAAATAATCATGCTGCAATCCTGCAATTTTTGAGGTTATACAATTTTAACACAATTTTACAAATATGCAATTTGAAAGCTGAAATTAACTTAAAAGGGGCACTAAAGTTGATTTAGAGATTGTCTTTTTATGGCACAAACTCGATCTATGCACCCTAGGTATAATACAAAACTGAAAACTACTATTTCGTGTGGCCTTTTTGGCCCTTAAAAACGCGATCAAACACCGCAACATGCCCCTTCTTCTGAGGTATCTAAAACATGTCTTGGTGTTTGGTCGAGATTTTAAGGGCGAAAAAGGCCGTGTGCAATTATAAAAACGTTTTTTTGTTATATTTCAGGTGGGTAGATCGAGTTTGCGCCATAAAAAGAGAATGTTGAAATTCACCTTGGTGTCCCTCTATTTTTTTCAATTATTCTACAGTACCGTAGTCCAACCTTAATGAAGTTGACGTCTGAGATGAAATCAAAATTATACAAAATACAAAAGGATTTCCTTTTATTACATACTGTCCAACACATGTACAGTCGAAACTCAGAGTCACCATCCACATTCAGTTGTTCATTCAAAAAGGTCCTACGAAAAAATTACCACACAACATCGTCACCCCAATGACCAAAAAGAAGAAAAAAAGGTGGTCTCACTCAACTTTTTTTTTCTTTGACTTAACCCAGCTTTTTCAAATGCTTTCACTATAGCACAATCTATTTTTTCGGATGTGCGAATCTGCACAACTCTACACTGAAAATAAATTTCGACAGAAAGCTTACAGAAATTGCGGGGCAAACGTTTCGAGATCTGTCGGAAATGGCGTCTACCCCTTACGGGTTGAAGCCTGCCTAAATGATGTGGGAATGGTCGAGGCGACAGCCGCATTTTCTCAGTTAGCTCGCACAACCGGTAATCTGCAGGGTACGGTCACCTGCATTTTACGTGGTATCTAAAACGTTGGTTGTGCCACGTCCTAAATGCGCCGTCGCCTAGATGGCTTTTCGTTGATAGTCTGGGGGCGCAACAGAGTAGTCACTGAGACTGAAGAGTTGGGAGTTCCGTGCCATGTACCTGTTGGAAGGAGAAAACAGACAGTGCGTTGCGGGTGTCGGTTTCGCGAGACGTCCCAGCTAGAGTCACCACATAGGTTTTCAGAGCACCATATCCCTTTCCTCCTTGTCAACATTCTTTTCATTTCTGTTTTGTAGAGACTGGCAGAGCTACCGCCATTTCGGGTCACATAATTTCAGACCCAGTCTGAATTTCACGCTCTTTCGCTTTTTGATTGACTGCAACAGGCACTATGAAATATCCAGATCAAAATGGACTATTGGGCAAATAGGTAAGAGTTCATCATAACTTGCAGCGCAACTGAGACAAGGATAGATAGAGGAGAAAACACAGGACAAGCACTGAACTAGCAACTGATTCTATTGAAATGAAAAAATACATATGATGCTGCTGCTGCTCGTGCAGGCATGCCCTTCCGCAACCCTGGCGCTTCTTTCAGTTTACACAAAACTGGCCGAGTTATCCATGATCCAAAAAGCTGATCTCGCAGCTCGTCAAAGTCGCTGTTGGCTGGCTCACACATGAAGATCCATTTTGTGTATTATGTCTCCATCATTTCTCAGGGTAGTTTGTCCTTGTGTCACAACGTAACTGTCGTGTTGGGGAAAAGGAGTTGGCATCTGGAACCCCGGCAATGCATCGCAAGGTGAGTAAGCAATTCCTTTCAAAGAACTGTGGTGTTCTCATGTTCGTATACTAAGGCAACGCCCAGTCTGTCCTACATACGCATGCCCGCAGGAAAACAGAATCTTGAACACCACGCTTCCTACGCAGGCGACAAACTGCATTCCGTGTTTGACGCCGCGCCCACTGTGAGACGTTGGAGCGTCTTTTCTCGCGCGTTAGTTGACCGCATAGCATACTGAGCTGAGCTTGCGACGAGTGGAAAAAACCGCATTCACATCGTTTTTTGAGGCAACTTTTTTGACTCGTCGGAAAGGCGGTGGGTGTACGGTATTGTCACGGATGACAAGTGACGAGGCGGTGAATGACCGAGTAAACTGAATGGTTAATGGGGCGAACTTGTGCCCGAAAATAAAAGGAAAAAGAAAGATAATAACAGAGCGTCGCGGGCGTCAAAGGCGGCGAAGCAGCACGATCGAACGCTGAGGCGAAAACTGACTCCGGCTCGCCACGCGGGGCTCCTTATGTACATGCGTGAGCTTCTGGAATAATCGGCGTAGAATGTTCGACGCGTAGAATTATTCGGACCTCGAACAAGCCAACACGTAGCAGAAAACTAAATTGCAGGAATAAACAAAAGGACGCGTGACTCCCGGCAATCGAACCCTGGCTTTTCGCGTGGGAGGCAAGCGCGATAACCGTTAGGCCACGGCCGCGCTGCCTACTTGGCGCGCGGCAGTATGACTGAAGCTTTCTTCTTCTCTTTCTGCTCGAGGTCATGTTGCTCGATCCTTGAACCTGTCTCAAAGTGTTCTACCATTTTTTCGCAAGCTCAAGAGATGACCGAATTAGCATATTCCTAATCCTGAAGCTGGAATTCAATTTGTGGATGCATGTGCTTGCTAAAGCAGTCCTCAGACAGAAAAAAGCAATGCCTCGTTTGACGAGTTTGGAGTGGTCTGATTGAAAGTTGAGAAGACCCTTCGCTGATCTGGGACTGTAAGACCAGCAGACATGATCGCCCCCAACTTTGACGAGATCTAAGAACCGAATAAGGTTCTTTTTTGGAGCTTCATAGGTGAATCAAAGTCCTAGCCCTTTTTCCATGAACATCTTGTGAGGATTCCTCTGGTCTCCCTTCCCCGATGGCTGTGATAACGGCCGCGGGTCGGAACACTCGGCCTCCTTTGCCGTGAGCTCCGACCTGTTCGTGAGGCGGAGGGCCGCCTGGCTTGGGGGGCCCTCCTCTCACTCTCTCCCGGGGGGACCTCTTTCCGTCCCCCTGCTCGGATGCGAACCACTGCTGACAGGCGAGGAGGTTTCACCTCTTATTTTCCCGCTTTCAGGAAAGGGACTCGTCCGGGTGACCGCGAAAGAGATAGGACGTGTGTCGGCGACTTCTCCGACGCTTTCCCCATCTTGGCTCTCCGGAACTCCACGTCTGGCAGGTAAGGACCTTTTCTTACCTTGTCGGCGCGGGGGGCATTTTGGATGGGGACATTGTAGTTCATATTAAGAGTGTTGTAATAAATGCTCTCGGACTCTGTCCTTACTCTGGTATGTGTGTCTTCTCTTCCGCTATATTCGAGAGAGTGAGACAAGGTAGACGATCATTGGCACCGATGAAGGTAATTAATCGAACTGACCCGCGGTAACGTAGCCCTAAACGTCGTCTATATTACCACGGAGATATGGGGACCGCGGGCTACTAGGTTTGACGGCTCCTTTGAGATCGCCGCCGCTGTTGAGATAACCCTTTGGTTACTCTATCGGTACCTGTGTTAGTTGGTAGCTAGCAATATCCCACAATCTTCAGCACATCATCAAGCGTCTGATGGAAATTGGCCCTCTCAACGAACACCGAATTGCCCACGTACCTAAACGCTTTTTTCTGTTCCTCTCTAAGCAGGGTTCCAGATCTTGATCGATCCTGCCTAAGAGATGTTACTGAGCACAGGGGCTACCCTCGACCCTATGCATACACCAGACTTCTGTAGTACGTACACCTTGTCTTGCCATCCGATGAGTGTGGACTTCAAATAAATCAAATAAGAATCAGTTGCTAGTTCAGCACTTGTCCTGTGTTTTTTCTTCTGCCTGTCCTTGACCCAGTCGTGCCACAAGTTATGATGATATCTAGATCAGCCCAGAGCTGTGCATATATCACGTGACTGTGTGTCCCACGCCTTGCTGCGCACTTCCCAAAGGTCACGTGACGCTTGCACGGCTTCGGATCGGCTTCCGACGGCTCGTAGCCTCCTCTGCCGTTCGCCGTAAGGTGAAACGGGGTGTGGCAGCACCTAGGTTCCGGTGACGCGTCGTCGCGCCGAAAGAGTTTCTCGTCGACGCCGGCGTCTCTGGGTCTGTGCGTGCAGTCAACTGCTTGTAGCCCATTGCAACTCAAGAAGGTAGGACGATGGAGGGTAAGACGGGCCGGGGAGGAGGAAGCAGACAAAACGTTGCAGAAGAGAGGGGGAAACCTTCTCTCTTTAGCGTACCGTCTGCATCCCCGTCCCCGACCCGTCTTACCCTCGCCCTACCTTCTTGAGCAACAGACTGTAGACATCTCTCATCTGTAGCAACCTCAAAAGAGAAAATTATATTTCATTCCTTTTTATGGTATCAAACATTCTTTTTCAATACTGTTAGCACCAACAAAAAGCAGTGTTGCAAGTGGTAGGATCTAGTGGAGGCACTGTGAGCCTGTGTGGTCATTCGCCCAGCTCTTTATCGTTTAAAGGGGCACTCGAGTGCTTTTTGTAGAACCTCGTTTTTGATGGCATTTTGTTTGTTTAGCTTTAGTCAATAAAAATGACCAGTTCCAGATGGCAAAACGGCTTCGTAAACTCGTAACGACAGAAACACAGGGGCACTGTTTTCTCTTGGGGGGGGGGGGGGGGGGGGGCCATCCTCAGGTCCCCACTACATTCATAAAATTTGACCGATGAAAATAGCTGATTGCGTTGAGATTCTTAACGTTACTATTATTTCTCTTTTTAGGCGCGTTGTACGCATTATATTTTGACAAAAACGTCAAATCCTTGGGTGCAGGAGAAGTGATACAGAAATTAGTGCTTGAAAACTCCGTCTGACAGCGCCCCCCCAATGTCACAAACTTGCAGCCAATGAGCGTAAATTTGGGTTTTCGAGGATGCTTAGAGCCCGTAGATTGAGTTATCACCATAAATACACACCCCCAAAATCCACTTCAATGACCTTATCAAAAAACATTCTTTTGTTTAAAAACAAAAATGCAAAAAGATTATAAACTTTGTTGCTAGAGGTCAATGAAGAATGATTGGTGCTTGGATACAGCAATCAAATGCAGGCGTGAAGGAAGTCTGCGTACAAGGAATTGTGTTTATAAAACAGCCTGTCACTGCGAGTTTGGATTGGCTCACTCTGAGTAGAGAGGCCATAAACAAACTATGCTGGAAAATGGACCCAATATGGCGGTGCACTGCTCAAGAAAGGTAGGTGTCGGTACTCTGCAACCTATCCGGTGACTTTACGGCACCCAAGGATGGAACAAAGACGTCAAGGCTCACTTGAGGAAGTCGTGAATGTGGTTCAAGAGAAGCTGAGTGCTCTTCTCGTCCAGGGGGGTGTAGGCAAGCATGCTGCCCAGCTTTACTGAAAACCAAAACGGAAAGAAAAAAAAAAAAACAGTTAAAGGGGCATTGACACACCAAAGGTCGTATTTTGTATTTTGTTGTCTAAAACGATACAAGTAGTAGTCATAGACACGGAAAAAATATGTCAATGTAAAAAAACATTTTTTTCATGCATGTGCGCGCCTTGTTATTTTTGGCGCGTTTCTTTCCCGCTCTTCACCTCCTAGGTTCTTTAATTTGTGACGTCACATATTACGAAATTTAGAAGCTTTCTAAGCAACATTTCTATAACATTTAATAATGGCATTCGTAAAACATGTTTTCTCATGCAATTGCGAACGCACTACGGCCCTTCTTTTTGGAATACCGAAAATTGGAGTCAGGAGTGATGTCGCCTCCTGGCTTTTTATCCTCCTTCGGAAAACGTGGCAGCGCTCGACCCATGTAGTAGAGGATGATCGGTGAGTCGGGGAATAGGACGAAGTGGTCACTTTTAGGTTCGCGACGACCTCTCAGTTTTCGAAAAGGAAATTGTCAAACGGTTAAAACAACTGGGTTTGGTGTCTGTGCATTGTAGTTTCGGTTGTGACTCCGCCGGGGCAGCCCTTCACACAGAACCGGCGCGACGTGCCCCTCACATCGCTCACAACAGTCCATCGCACATTCTCTTCAACCTCACACCGTTTCAAAGAATTCAAAATCGCTGAAAGGGCCCTAAAAGAACTTCCAACCCGAAAGACAATCGTCGTCTGCTCGCAGCGATAGCCGTCACGCTCAGAGGAAACCAGTTGTTCATGGGACGCTGGCAAACACGAGACTTCGGGTGGCGGCGGTACGGAGGCGTCAGAGAAACTCAAGTTGCAGGACCGCTTAAGCCTGGTTCAGAGAGTTGCGTTTGACTGCGTTTGACTGCATTGCGGCAGCGAGAAACCAGGACATCCCTGCTGCTTATATCACGTGCCACAGTGATTCCTTGCATTGGATTCCACGCTTCATACGAAGCACAGATGTGCCGGTGACTCGTTTTCGGTTCTCGACGCAACGCAGTCAAACGCAAGTGTCTGAACCGGCCCTTAGTATATGACATCACTGCACCGGCGCAGATCGCGCGGGAACTTCAAATTCGGCAATCGGAAATTGTTTTTTCCCTTTGCAAATACTGAATTCTCAAGTTTCAGGTTGTGAGGGTAATGTCCAAGCATTGTTTTCAATCGTTTCGGATAATAAAAAAAAAAAAAAAGCTTTTGACGTGTTAATGCACCTTTAAAGACTGATAACGTAACTGTGTTTACTGTTGATGCTTCCGCTCAAACAAAATGTAATGCAGGAATCTCGCTCACCATAAAATACTGAGCACACATCCACATCGCAATGTGCTTTTGAAACATTTGAAGTATGGGCAAAGGACACATCAAGGGCCCACCCCAGCAAACTTCAGTGCCCGTTGAGCTAAGTGAGGTGTTCCTCTGCGTTAGCTGCGTCTCCAAGAAGCCGGTGCGAAGTGGTGAAGCTTTAATTGCGTGCGTCAACGCGAAGCAGTAAAGCCCGAAGCAGGAATGATGGCACAAAGCAAGTTCAATGAGATCTGCGCAGCTGGATTAAGAATTAAGCAGCTGCGCAGATCCATTCAATTAAACGAGGGCCTACCTTGCCACGCGCCACTACTGCTTTTCTGCTTTCGGACCTACTGAGCACATACATTGTCATTTTTTTGTGATTCTATCCATCTTTTGCGTAGGCGCCCGCTCGGTATATTACGGTATATAGTGCTTCAGTGCAAAGTAAAACAGAACGATGCAGCGAGTCTCACCAAAGAGCCTTAGCAGATGGATTGCGCCGTAGATCTGTGACATTGGGGTTTCTGGGCGTTCGTTCAGGACCTGCGTGTTGGGGTAGCACGAAATTTTCGCAGTCAAGCGTGAGAAATATTATGATGCCAAGTACTGTAACTCGATTTTGCCCCCCTAACATTGAAGCAGCCCTAACAGGCCGAAATTAATTTCTCTTATTATCACACACGACTGGAAACAATATAAAACTGCCACCTTGGCAAAATAAAATAAATAAAAAAAAAAAAAACGCAAAATTTTTTTAAGCGACTCAATGACATTGATATTGTTTTTCGGACCAATTCTGATACTATCAGAGATAGGCATTGTAGTGTGGTTGCATTAGCCATAAAAAAAAAAATATGTTTCACTATAGCAATTACTGAAAAGTGACATTTGAGATTGTTAAAGTGGGTGGAAGTTTGAGAAGCGAGTCTGCACACTAAATACCTCTTGTTTTGCGTTGCAAGCTTTCTTTGTTATACCATAAAACCTTTTTGAAGCATCCGACACGCTATATAATAAAGGAATATAAGGGTGCCAGAGCCCATTACCATAACTCTCCCGCGAAGGTGAGGGAGGCACTCACATCTGCATACTGGGGCCTTTCAAACTTGTAAAGGAGTTGGCTCCCCAGCATCACATTGAAGTACTCTTTCAGGCCATTAGTCACTTCAATCACAGCACTTTCCCTGTCAATAACAACACAGAGTATTTCTTAACAACTTCATCTGTATAAGGGTGAACAATGTGGCAGACTACACAAACCCCACCGAAGCAGTTGACATTGTTAAACAGGACACTGCAGAGAGACAACATCATTTTGTACCACTGAAACAGCCCTAAAATACCCATTTACCACCTTGCTCAGCATGTAACGATTAAGAAAGAAAAACCTTATCAATGAACTACCACTACTACAAGGTAATGATCACCTTGTATACTAGTCTACTGATAATCCAATACACTGACTGCAGAAGCCAGTTAAGATATAATCACGGCAAGACTCACTTGTTAGAAGAGATGCCTTTGACAGAAGTCTTTTGTTTGACGTAATCGGCAAGGATGTGGTCCACGGTGACATTGCACGGTAACTGCACCAGCTAGAACACATGCAAAGGCACAGATTACTAGTACAGCAAAGCTGTCAAGTTGTCATCACATGCTACCAGGCTATAGCATGTTGTGAACTCTATTTTCTAGACCGCACTGGTGTATAGTTTGCAGAAACAGTTTTCGGTTTGCAAAAAGTAAGTTTTTAAAAAGATAGTCTGCACCTAGTAGTGCAAAGTCAGACCTTCTGCATAATCCACACCTGGCACACAGTCTACACCTAAAGCATAGTCCACACTCGATTGATAGCCTACAATTGCTGCCTATTCTGCATATAAAAATTCTTATAACGTACATAAACCCTCATTAACATCCTCGTTTATTAGCAAAGTCCGTCGCATCTCGCAATAACGAACAATCTAGAGAAAACAAATTCTGCATAGCTCGCACCAACGGATAGTGTGCACGGATCGCATTGCGGAAGACTTAAACTTCAGAACACGTAAAGCCCACGGACTACGTTCTGGAAAATGGGGTAGTACGGTAAAAACACCATACAACTCTGACCCAAAGTAAAAACAGCCACAAAAGCTGCGCACCTTCTTCTGGCGTGTTATTAGGTCCCAGTCGTCGACGAGCCACGGCTTGAGCTCATCCGGAATGCGGACTTTGATCTCTACCCTCGAGAGGAAGGCCTCTTCCTGTAAATCAATCAATCATTGAAATCATTTCAATGGCATCAGTAAAGAGTATGAAATAAATGATGAAATCACACTTAAGGCTATTCAGCAGAAAGCCAAGCTGTCAATATCCAAAGATGCCCAAGAACCAAAAAAGCCTCGGTAACGAGCTTGCAGAAACAGCATCTCATACCCTGCTGTCCTTTCAAACACAGGGTCACTGCTTTTTCTTTTTTCTTTCTCTTCGGGCTAGGTAAGAGAGGGTACTAGAAAGTCGAAATTCACCACTAAATAATCTGATCCAGATATTGCTAGCCTATTTCGACAATGGGCTATGAATCTGACTGGAATATGCAGGCTAAGAGGAATATTTAAAAGGTTAATTACTAACTACTACTAGGTAACGTGTTTGCTAATTAACAGGCCATGCTTCTGCCTTTATGTCCACCGCAGTCGTCCAGAAGTAATCCCTCGCTTGTTTCAAGGCCCCCCCCCCCCCCCCCCCCCCCTTTTTTTAAATATTTTCAATCTACTATACTCATCTTCACCTCAAGGAAAGTCAGGCTTTTCGTGGAGTGTTCTTAATTTCTGTCTCTATGTGGTGAACTAAGAGACTTGTATCAATCACAATGTTTAAACTCTTAGATTGGGAAAGAAACTTGAAGACAAAGTAGAAGAGACAGAAGAAAGTGGACAGACAGTGTCTCAAGGTACAAAGTATAGAAGGGACGGAAGAATGTAGACAGACACTTCCTTCTTTCCCTTCTACTTTGTCTTCAAGCTTCTTTCCCGGTCTCAGGGTTTGTGCATTCTGACTGATACACACCAGCTTGCCTGCACTTTAACCATTTTTTTTTTTTTTTTTGCTAAGAGCTTGCATGTGCATTTAGGACCAGTTATTCATTACTTTATCAAACTGAGGACGCTTCCAACACAAAAGACATTGTCGTTTCTTGTAACTATCAAATCTTTCAAGAACTATGTTGCACAGCGCATGAACTACACACAAAACCCGCCTTCTTTTTCTTGAGACAGCCTGTGTGCACATGACAAATACCACAATATCACTGAACCACGCAGCTTGTAAACACTTCCGAAATAACCACCTCTTGATCCTCCCAAGTCAAAAGGATTACTCGTCATTATGCAACACCCACTTCCATGTAAGCAAATAATACATAGTCTCCCAAACTTGAGAACTATTCGACACTGGTTCCCGCATTAGTTTTGTCTTGGCTTAGAACGAAGAGGTAGTCGTCACAAACTCACGGACTCTACGTGTGGGTCGAGCCGGCTGCGTTTTTTCCGGTGGCTTTCGGTCCCCGTTTCTTGGGTCTGGCTCGAAGCGGGGGTCGATTGAGTCGATGTGCCCGTCGTTCCACTTGCTGCTGCTGCGTGAAAGAGAAGAAAACAGTGGGACTGCTTTACTGTTTTTTGAGAGGGTGAGGAAACAAACTTCTACAGTTGATCACGCAGACTCTTCTGATTGTAACGGCACTTTTAGGAGTTATTCTGGGCAACCGCAATCTTTCGTAGAGTTGGCACTCCGTACAAACTAAACAATGCTACGAAGCAATCTATCTACAAGTTTCCCCACTTCTAGACAACACCTTCATGCGCGCTGCACGACGCCACTGGCACAAAGACGATGTCGGCAATTGTCTGCGTTTTACTCAGACAAAGTATTCACGAGCAGCAAACTTTACCGCTTGGGTTAATGCCCTGAATTGGGACCCAAACAAGTAACTTTTTAAAAGCTGTCCAATTTCAAAAAGACACGGAAAGCCGGCGATCACTTGTTTGTGCCAACAATGTTGCACTGCATATATCCACAACATTTGCGAGGAAATTCTTTAAAACCTTTAAATTCGATTTGCAGTCAGATTTTTAATAGTATTCATATTCGATTTGCAGTAAAAAGTTTGACTGCAAATCGACCAGCTGCTTGTAATCCTATTCAAGAAACAGAATTTTTTCGGGAGACACACCCTTCTGTTTCTGGGGCTTCTCCTGGGAGGGAGTCGACGATCGCTCCTTTTCTGCTTCCTTTTTAGGTTTCACTGCCTTATTTTTCTTGTTTTTTCTGAAACAAAACTTTTTGGTTGGAGCATGGATGCGAATAGCGATGATATTGGTTGTACGGAAGCAATTTGAGAAGCAGAGAGCCCATGAGGCTAGTGTCACAACCGTTCAATCAAAACCAATTGAAATAAGTTAAATGCAGTGACAGTAACCCCATCAGTAAAACTGGAGTCTGCATTTTAGCCATGTGTTAAAATAGGTTGTTGGCAAAATTTGTCGTACAATGGCCCTTTACAAACAATGAGCACTGTATGACAGAGTTTGCAGTGAAAAGCCTGGCGATTTAAGAGCCGACTGTTCGTACAACGCTGACCAAGACAAGCATACGGAAAAAATATATGCATCCAACAAGATGAAAATATACAACGTAGTCCCAATGAACCTAACCCACTTCAAATAAATTTACAAGTCAGTACTGCACACTAAACCAGTGTAACTTTGCACAAAGGTCCAGCTAGGCGGTGGAAAGACCAAAAAAAAAAAAGCTTGCCTCAATAAAAAAAATAGGTGCCAGAATTCTCCCGTAGACTGATGCCGAGTTGAGCCATTGCCATTCTCCGTTTTGTTCCAAACGGAGAATGGCATGCTCCAACGGCCCAAACAGCATTCTTTACAGTTGAGCTCAAAAGACGCTCGAGTCCGTATCGGCCAATATAAAAATTCTGTTTACGACGCCTAGAGGGCGGTCCAAACCAGACAAGATTCCGGCATGTGGTTGAGCAAAAGCTGAGCACAGAAATTTTTTTTATGGCTATTGTATACGCTCCGAAAGTGAGCACTTGCGATTGGTTGACGAACAAACACACTGACGGTTGGAGCAGCCAATGAAGTGACGTCACGGATGTTCTCCAGGCTGCCAATCAAAATGTGTGTAATGTCAAGAACAACGGCCAATGGGAATCAATGGGGGGGGGTCAAAGGTGTTATTTATTGTGCCGGCCGCAGCGGGCAAGGAAACATGTGCAGTGCTACGCAGGTATGCAGGCCCCGGGTGGGAGAGGGAAAAAAAAAAGCTCCTATTGCGAGAATTTTGAGTGGCTAGCTAATTTTCAAGGAGTAAAGTCGAACAGAAGAGGCTGCTCCTTAAGCCCTCCCTTTGACCTTTTGTAGGGTCCGCGAGAAGCAAAGTGTGCCTTATCCCTCCCACTCCTGTCCGGTCATAGTGGGCACCCAAAAGTTTAAATATAACCAACTTCAATTTTGGCCGGCAAAACCCGAAATACGAGAACTCACCGGCGATGTCGCACACCTCGAAAACAATATCTGTCTTCTGCCTCCCAGAGAACGAACTGCGAGCTTGTTTAGACCGTTCTTAACGTCGATAGAGGCAATTATTCCCTTTGATACTTCCAGGTAACAGACTAATCCTCTAACCATGCCTCCATAGTTTATTAGAGCGTTGTAGCACGCAAAACTGAACTTTCACGATTTATTTAAAGTGGGTCAGTTTCATTGGATACCTGTGAGAGATGAAAATCCACCAGCAACCAACCATGGCAAATGTCGATGAGGACAACGAACAACCTTGCAATAAAATACAGGCAACACTGTCACAATCAATAAAAAAAAGCTCAACGTGAACAGAAGTAGGACTGCAACACAGTTAGTGAACAAGTCGTGACTGATGTGAGCCTACAATAGAGGAAATGTTGCAACAAGCACAAGCATTACGATGAAAACCAAAGTCTTATTGAGACTGTTAGTGTATAAGAAGGCATGCAGAGGGATAACGACAGGGGAGCGCACGGAGAAAAAAAGGCCGAAGCCCGAACAATGCGGGAGGGAAAAACGCCGAAACGTTCACCTCGGCTCGTCACCAGAAGCCGGGCGTTTGTGGTGGCGGTGTGTCTAAAACAACGCAGTTTCGCGAAAGCAGGAGCGTCAGCCGTGCCTTTCATTGTTGCAGAGAGATTCACTTTTTGTTGCTGCAGGAGAGCGTAAGCTCGACTGCAGCAACAAAAAGGCTAACGCACTGAGAGACATAGATTTCACGGACGTTCCAAGCTTTACAAGGTCCGGGCTCACGAATTTAAAGCCTTTCCCTTCGACATTGTGGGGCAGGGGGGCCGAGGGGGGGAAGAGGGGGTGGGAGGCAGGCAGGCAAGCACACCCCTGCCATAGAACGATCAGAATGTGCCAAGGGTGCAGGTGCAAGGGAAGGGTGTCACAACGGTGAGGGGCGGTACTTACGGGGCAGAGTGCGATTGCGAGGCTGAGGACCTAAGCCGGACGGAACGAGAACATAACACAGGGCAGATGAGAGAATCCCGCGAAAGAGGGGGCTCCGAAAACCACGCGATCACGCGAGAAGACGCAGTCGCCAGGCGGCACCCAACTCGCTGGTGATGCTCTACTCCGTTTCACCTTACAATGGACCACGGCAAACGCTGCAAGCCATTTTAGCCGGTTTAACGCTGTGAATGTATTGCGCGACTACGCACCCCTCCTCAAGGTCACATGACGCTCGTGCAGCGTTGAATTGGCTGCGATGGCTAGCGGCGTTGTCTGCAGTTCGTCTTAGGTGAAACCGAATCCAGAGTCTGAACCTATCAAATACTGTGTTGAAATCGGTAGACGACACGTTTGCTCATGGTGCAATTTTAGTGCCACGATACAACATTAGTGCGGCGCAGCTCGCAGCATGAGGAGCAAAAGCTCGGGCTCCAAAACCCAGTCGGTGTTCCTGGTTCCAAACCCCGCAAATATGCGTTTTGTTCGGAGCGATCGTTGTAATGAAACGCGTCGTGTATAGCTTCTGTTGCATGTTTGAGACACTCCATCTGTAGTCACAGTATAGCGACAGTATGCGGAGCGCAAGCTTGTCCGCTTCTTTTGCAGGGATTGTAGTAAAGTCAGAACACCGAGCTCCAATTGGTTCTGAATAAAGGATGGAGGTAGACCTCAAGGAAGCTTTCTTTGATCAGAGCCAATCAGAGCTCTGCATCGTTCTGACGTCACCACAACTCCTGTGCAAGCAGACGACTTGCTCTCCGCATTGCCAGTCTACAGAGTGAACCAGTGCCACCATACCTCGAAGGCAGACCAACCTCGCGCTGTCTAAGCACTTGCGTCTAGCAGCTTGTCATTTGTTCCTACGTTACAGGTATACTTGTGAAAGCGCTTCACGCTCGTGAAGCTAAGAACGTGAATCGGTTTTCTTCTCGGCACGTAATGATCAGACGGTCGCACGTGAAGACATGAACCACATGATTCCCAGCTGCTACCTTCGCACTGAAACAGTTCACTATCAGTCGGTGCAAGCATCAAATCCCTAAAATGGAGTTAATACGGCAAGCCCAAGATGCAAACGCTGTTGCTTTTCTCCGAGAAGCCCGATACACGACTTCGATAGGTCCAAACCCGGCTCAGCAATGGAAATGTGTTTCCACAAAATAGAACATACCATCGCCAAATTTGCAAATATTGGAAGTCAGTTCGCATCCATTTTAAATTTCGGTGCATGCTGCCGGGGACGACTGCGTCTTATACAGTTTAACTGGGATGATGGTGTGATTCGAGCAACGGTCGGCCCGTTTAAAAGAGACCATGAAATGGTTTTCGTCTGATACATTGCCAACTCGAGCAAGGAGCGCGAGAAAATTATTGCAGCCCTCACTTCTGGCTTTTGTTCCTTCCTCGAGTGTTTTGCAAATTTTATAAGATGTCTATTTTGCACGTTACAACACAGCTACTGGACGAAGTGCTATCCAAAAGAGCTAAAACTGTCAAGTCAGAATCTGAATTGAAAACTGCTAAAGCTTTATTGCTACACACCTTTCCAGCATTCATCACCCAGCTAAAAAATGCTGAGACACTGGGCGCTCCACAGCCTAGCAAAGGAAGATGGCAGTGTACAGAAGGTGATCATTGGAGTGGTCTACGGCAACTGAAAAAAGTTCTTGCAACAAATTAGTTTGTCGATCTGCTGCTCTGTCTAATTTCATTGAAAAATAAGACATTTACAAAGCTTGATGCTCTCAAGACAGGAGAATATCATTTCATGGTCCCTTCAAGTGAAATTAGATGAAATGAACAGTCACTTTCAATGAAATGAGAGGAACGTAAGCAAGATGAATGAAGCAAATCACTTGCAAAAAGCCGAAAGTGGCGGAAACGTGACGGCAGGACACCAGCTAAGAAGGAGCTGTGAGGCAACAAGACGGTAATTCTACAACAATGTTGAGCAAACGTCACAATAACGTTGCAACCAAGCATCACCCCGACACACCGCACCAACGTTTCGGGCGTGCCAGTCCCACGGGAATCATCCCGACACACATGGAATGACACTCACAGGTGCGCTTTTTCAAGTTCCTTCTGCTTCTGAAGGTTCACATCATTGAATTTGAGCACTCTGCTTTCAGGCACCCATTCGTCCCAACTGCAAAAAGAAGAAGAGAAAACAAGGTGTGAAATGTTACGAGGTTGGAACACTTTCCTTTAGGTTTAGGTGGGTTACTTTCACGAGTTCAGATGGCTACTATGATCTTTTCCTGGGCCTTAAAAAGCCCAGAGAAGCCCCAAGGTAGAGTCACATTTGACCTTCCTTGGCCAGTCTGGACACCTTGGCCCTAATTTGCCAAAACAAGTGCCAAAGTTGGGCTTCACTGCTGGTCGTTTGGCTGTCATTCGGCATCTTTTGGGTCTAAATTGCGAAACAAGCACCAGTGATTGCTTTACTTCCGGCTCAGTTTTCATCTGGCAACTTTGGGCCTAAACTGCAAGACAAATGCGAGGTTTAGGCTTCACCGCTGGCTCTTCGGTTCATACACTGCACCCTTGGCTCAAGTCTGGCACTTTGGAAATTGCGTGGCGAACCAGGGAAAAGCCATAAAAACCCAAAAGAAAAGTCCTTTGCCACTAACAATAGACCCTTTTCAAAATTTCGAAATTATTTATAGATTATGTGTGGCCGCCATTTGTTGGTCATGCACTGTGAGCATGCATTGGACACGAGCGCTTTGTTAGCATTCGGAGTGTACATGGGTCAAAATGCATTCCACACGAGTGCTGTGTCAGTACTCGGTGCAAACTCGGAACCAATCACGGGCTTCACGCCGAAAGTGATAAGACCAACTAATGGCGGCTGCGCATAATCTATGCATCATTTCAAAATTTCGGAAAGGGTCTATTTCCTCAAAGCAAAATAATGCATAAGTCCAAAGTCAGGATTACCTAGGATTGCCATGCTTGTGACAAGCTAGGCGTTTCTCTGGCCTGCTACCCGTGTCATGTTCACTCTCGCTTCGCGATTGGTTCTTCGGTGTTTTCATCGTGTAGTGTTGAGCTCTCGTTCACTGCGGAGCGATAATGAGATGCGTGGGGCTCGCCACGCCCCGCGCACCTTAAAGGGGCCCTGCAATCATATTTAAGCGTCTACTTTTTTTGCGGTTTCCACGTCTCTTGGGGTTCGGGCAAGCCAGCAGGCACGGAGAGTAACTAAATATCAGTGCATCATATTTTAACCGAACAACGCGGAAACCTCCTCCACCGACGGGGGCGACCCACGGTACCGAAAGCGCGCGATATGTAAAGTCTTTGGTCCTGGGCTTACTACTGGTCAGAGCCGCTAAAAGCTTCTTTTTAGTCGAAATACAAAATATAAGTGGCACGAACCATTTTAATTATGTATAAAAGTAGTTTTTGTTCAGTATTTTAGATCAGAAAAAAAACAAATGCAGTTTATAAAGTACGGAAACAAGAAATGACCCGTCGACATACCCGCCACCAAGCGGTGGCAAAGGCAGCGCATACTAGAAAATAGTAGTGGGATCAGGCGCCGAAACGGAAAGGTACTGCATGTACACGGCGGCACTGCGGTCGTAGGGACTGGAGGATCCGACCGGCTCCGAGCGTTCCGAAGGCCTTCGGCGAGCAGCTTTGTTTGGTGGTTTGGCCGTTTCGCGGTATGGCAGTGCGAAGTGGCTCCCATTCTGAACTGATCATTACCCGCGTTTGCTGTCGTTTGTGGCCAATGAAGTGTCATGCCGAATTAGTGTTTAATCGCGCAGCAAATGCAATGTGAGCCGCCCTGGCTGCCCGCTGCATTCAGCCTATCCAAAACATGCTTTAGTGGCGCCCTCTCGCGCCGTCGACACGGAGTGCGGCCGCCGTGAGCGCTCGCATAGCTCGCTACCCCTCCTCTAGTTCAGGTCCACTCAAGCAACCAAGGACGACATGAAGGAGGATATTTTTTGCTTGTTTTTGTAATTTTAATTTGCCTATAACTTTGAAAATAAAGCAAAATTCGAGAAAAGAAAGGTTTCGTTTAATTACTACGTTCAGTGCGCTCAGGTTCGGTGCAAATTAAAAATTGGTAAAAATGTCATTGCAGGGCCCCTTTAAGCCGAGCCAAATTTGACGTCTTTACGTGCCAGATCAACGATAGACATCTGCGCATCCCCCGGTGGAGGACTTGGGATTCATTTCAACTACCCGGGGATTTTTGGACGTGCAACCGAAAGTTTGGTTGCATGGCGGCTTCTTTGCAATAAGCCTCAGCCGAATTGCGGGCACCTTGGCAGGGATTCAAACCCGACACCTGGGGGTCTGTAGCCGGGTGCTTTGCCTCGGAGCCGCCAAGGCAGCTTTAAATGTCAGAGGTCACCATCCAGAACTTTTGGTCTAGACCCAGATATGATGGCGAGCTTTTGCAAGCTTGAAAGGTGGTCACGTGAGAAACATGTACAAAGATTTTTCTTGCCATAAAGAAGAGCGGGCGACTTACTTCTTGTTCCATCCGCTGTAGTGAATGAAGTACTTGGTTTGCTTATCCTTCACCTGGGCCTTGATGCACTTTGTTAAAGGAAGAAAGGTCGTCTTTGTTTGGTTTGCATCTGAGGATTGCTCAGGTTAAATAACAAGGTTGATGGTTACCTTGGCCTCGTAGAGCAGTGGACCGTGGAAGCACAGAACTTTCTCCCCTACAAAGAGAATATAAGTAACGAACATAATCAAATATAAATCATACTTTAGAAGTTTAGATGATAACCTAATCTAAACCTACGCAAGCAAGGAACGCTCATAACATTAAGCCAGTGCATCACACAACTCAGTATGCAACCATCAGATATCGACACCTCACTGGATTATTACTGCTCTCTGCGTTGTTTTTAAACGAGCAATAAACTTCCCACGAATTTCGAATAAAAAAAAAAAAAAAAAAAAGAAAAAGAGATACAAGTGCATTTTAGTGCGAAGGAGGAGGTGTTCATATCGAAAGCACGCGAATTACATTATGCGGTTGAAGTTTAACCAAATGTAAATCACGTACCGTTTTTACGCCGTCCAAAAATATTAAATTCGATGTTGTGTATTTATTTTTTACGACCCTTCTGGAAATATCGGCGGCGTTTCGCGGCTTCTTTTCCACCATTGTCAAAGGTAACCGGCTTCCACGAATTCTGTTTATTCGAAGACTACTACGCTGCTTATAACATAACTTGTTCCGTAGAATAGTTCTCCTATCCTTTATCCGTTCTCAAACAGATCAGAATATTGGGAAGCGACCTTTATCGCCAAATATTAACGAAATTTGGCCGCTTACCGTCTTGAAACCTCGCCTTCGGCGCCATGTTGTTTACTATGTCGACTCTACGAACGCTACGAACTCTACTGGCTGTGTTCCAAACCTTACTCAAAGGGACCCGAGTTACTCCGGCGGGTGGTGTCACGTGACAACACAGATTGAAGAACGCTGGACGCGGGTAGTTTTTGAAACTCCAAGGTTCAAAACTGTTACCCTGGAGTAAGATCGAGTAAATTTTGAAACACGGCCGCTGACTCTACCACTCCAGAGCCACACTGCGCAAGCTGCGCACTCTACTCTCTACTGACTCTACCAACCCTACTGTCACCCTAGTAACGCTAGTAACTCTCCCAATGGGCGAAAATACGTGCACGGTGCAAATTGATGCTTACAAATAGAGTAATAATTATACGGTAGTTAGAGAAGGCAATGGCCGCCGCCATGTGTCTGCACTTGTATGGGAGGTGTGCGAGCGTGCGTGGTTTTGTTTTTTCCTATCTCTGTCTCCTTCCTGTGTTGTCTTTGCGCTACATTGTGATTATAGGGGTCTTGCAAGCCTGCTAAATACTTCCATGCGTGGGTGCACGCGTGTGACACCAGCCGAGATAGGTAAAGGGAAGCCCCTCCCAGTTTATACATAGTTTTCACGTGACGTCACGTCACGGCCGCCATTACGAGGTACTGAACTGTTCGTAATCTAGTAGGGGGTTTTGTCAGTCCCTGCAGCATGACACTACCAGACACTGTATAAAGCTGCCTTGGCCGGTGTGGCCAAGCACACAGAGTACAAACGTAAGGTTTCAGCAATCCATGTATTACAGATGACACATGCATTCCTTACCAGTAATGAAGCAACGACCACAGATATGGTCGTTGTCGAAGTTCTTCAAATCCTTCCGGTGTATGCGAGCAAGGTGTCCGGTGTTTCTCGGACAGCAGCTTTGTGCGCTCAAACTGTCAGTTTATAACTTCTAGAAAACAATGCAGCCTTATATTTGGCATTGTGCTACTCTCCTTTGCGAAGGACTTAGTTCTGCTGCAGCAACCAAACATCGCACACATCAGCATTATTGCACCACTGTGACTGCACGTGCATGTACCACGAAAACACAAAAGAAATGCGCACCGAAAATGATGCAGCAGCAACCAGCATTGACAGCGGCAGCCTGGAGCCAAAACTATGTTGGTACCTGGTAATGGGGGCGACATATCCCATAAGCCCCGGCAGCGACATCCGTGAAAACTATTTATCAAGGCACGGCAAGCTGCGTCATAGACTTGCTGCTTGGGATAGCGTGGTAGTCGGTGGGTCGATTCTGCTAAGTTGCGTTGGTTTCCATGGAAATCGGGTAGCGTACGCAGCAAGTGCAGCTGCGACCAGCGAAAAATAACTGCACACGTGGTAGAGTTGTGTACCCTGGTGGAGGTGCAAGCTAACACACTAAATGTCCCTTCATTCTGCACATTCGAGTAAACCTGTCAGCGGAAGTGCACTGCTCGCATCAAGATCCGCAGTGAAATCTGTCTGGTGAAATCCATTTAGTTGCAGGACATTATTCGTGGCCTGAACCTTTTGTGCGAGTACATTGCTGTTATCGACCTTGGTGAAAACAAGCTGACAAAGACTTCACCAGAAGATTGAGAACCATCGTCAACCGCAGTCGAGTGCTGGTAGACCTTGTGAGCCTGCCATCTTGGTTAAGTGCTCTAATATTTGCCGGAACCAATGGTGTCACTTGCGGAGAAGTGCTTCCTTAAGGTAACATAGCCCTGTTTCTAGGAAAATAATAATAATAAATAAATTTTTATTGCAAATGAACAAAACGTATGTTAAGTCTGACCTGCCTAAGCCACGTTGGGCTTAACTGGCAGCGTCTTAAAATCAGTGAAACCATGCCGTTTGCTAAAGGAAACATGTAAAATAAAATCCACACAAAGAAATCAGAATAACAAAAGCAAACTAGTGAGCACTTTACAATCTAAAATTTCTCAGGGCTTTCTTGAGCTTGCATTTTGTTCTTAAATTTAGAATACTAGAAGGTAGTTTGTTCATAAATGCTCGTACATAGTAACTCTGAGCTCTTTTTCCAAATCTTGTCGAACATCTAGGTATCCGGTAACGCTCTTTGGGTCTAAGAATATGAGAAGGTACATATGGAACTTTAAATTGACTATCCCAAAAATGCCTATCAACAACAGTTTCCAACAATAGCGAGTTAAAATCAGGCAAATGCAGTGCTTTAAACACATCAACGTCCTTACCAAGGCATAAATCATAGGAAATGTTCTTTAACAAAGAAGGCAGAATCGAATTAATTCTAATTTGCCAACGCAGAGCACAATGATTATACACGGTAGTACCGTAACAGAGCACACTGTAAACAAGAGCATGTACAACAATTTTTCGAACGGATAGTGGCATAAAATATCTCGTGTTGTATAGCAAACAAGAAAAGGAATCAGAGTTTCCGGAAGCATTGCAAAGCTTGAAGACGGCCACACCAGGGCTCTCGTTACAAACTTCTGGAATAAGCCCACAGTATCTGACGAAGACATAGAAGACCTGAGAGACTTGAGAAGCTTTTTAGGTGGTCAGACCGGAAAAGGCTCGAACATCCAGACTCAACGCTAACCTGAGGATGTCATCGGAGCAAAGGCACAAACTCCTCGAGCTACTTCGCAAGTTCCACGACTGCTTTGCTGCGCCATCCAGGGTTCAGCAGACGACAACTGCCAAGCATCGTATCATCACCAACGATGACAGCAGGTACAAAAAATGCTCAGTCATCCTGGCTTCGAACGATCCATGGGCTGCCCCAGCGGTGTTGGTCGAGAAGGACGAAAACCCTGTGATTTTGATTGGACTAGCTACAGGCAACTAAACAAGATTACAATGAACAATGTCTATCCACTCCCTTCTATCAACGACACCCTTTACCCGGATGCCGCCAGTTAACGATATTGCCAAGAATATGGCTATACTGTTAACTGATGGCATTCAGAGTTGCTGCTCCATAGCCGCCAGAACACCGAGGCAAGAGCAACCCCCATTGATTTCCCATCACGATGCTATTTCCTCAAGAGCAGTCATCCTCATTGCTTTGGAGGAGCATAATGAAAGTGGCATCAAGATAAACTAGTTCAGCATTTGGTGCAACATCAAGGGCCTGCTTTTAAATGTTGCTGTGTTGGCTAAAAACCTAAGAGAGGTGGGAGACTAGTGTTGAGAATTTTTTTATCAAGGTCCTTAGCTCCTTGCTTTCACTACTCCTGGTTGGTAAATACAGGGTATGTGCGAGATTGAAGTCATGGCATGGGTAGCAGGGCTTTACCATCAGAACTCAATTAGCAGAAAGATATCGGGGTTTTTGTCTCGGGGTTTTTCTCGAAATGCAGAAAGATATGTCGTAGTAATGTGAGTGAGTTGGGACATAAAGATAATGTACATAAAATAATATGCACCCTAGAGCTAGGGGTGGTTGACATAATGACCAGGTTTCCACGAGCAATAGAGGTTGTATTCACGATAAGAGACATCCTCCTCTGTTGTTTTGTCCTTCGACTTGAAAGTTCCTTGATTTTTCCGCACCACAGTCTCGTGTTTTACATTATATCACCAGCTTGACTGCACACTCACTGTTTTTTTGCATCTTTGCTGCTGTTGTTTTTTAATCTATCCATGACCTATATATAATGTCACTTTGTGATTGTGTAAATTTTTTATGTACTAAGTAGTTTCAGCATACATGTCACCTTTGCATTGGTTTTGTTTTGCCACCTGCTAAGCCCGGAGCCCCCGAGACTTAATTAAACCAGCCCGTTAGTAGTGTAGGTTGTAAAGAGCTATATGCTGCAAATGAGGCTATTCTATTCTATGTATTATTTAATTTGATGAACCTCGGAGCCACATGAAACACAATGTTTCTGGTTACATTAAGCTTTAGTGGATCATTATCAGTTGTTTGATCTCATTGCAATATCTACCCTAGCATGGCAGGTAACCACATAAAATCTAAAGGACCATTCACACGGTCCTATTTGACTGTGAGTTATCGCAGTCTTGGCTGTAATGACTGTGATGGTTCTGTTGCACAGCCGAAAACGTCCAGTCGGCACGCATCTCTGTTGCCGATGCAACACTGTGTTCACAAACAAAACTGACCATCGATCTACTGCGAGCTCGGAAGGTCCACCTTCCCCACTTGGGTCGTCGTAATCACGATGCTCGGCAAAATCTCGCTGACCACACCCGTGGCCACAGTCCGTTTCTCCTCTCGGATCGAGAAACTTTGTCCGGGCGTCATGATCATCTTCTTGGGTAATGTCAGCTCCACGTCAGCATAGTCCCCAGGCATCAGCATGCCGCCGCCAACGACATCAACCCGGCAGGGCATGTTCCAGGTACGACAGAAGATGGGCATGATGTACTTCTTGGAAATCGGCTTCGACCGTCCACCTTCGGCTTCGGCTAGGAGATAAAGCTGAGCCCGAAAACGATTCCCCAAAGAGGCCGTGCCCGGCGCGACAAGGCTCATTCCTCGCTCAACCGCGGTGGTCTTCACGCCACGGACAAGCAGTCCGACATGGTCTCCGGCCTGGCACTCATCGATGGTCTTACCGAACCGCTGTATTTCCGTCACGACGGTCTTGAAGGTTTTGTCGAAGCCGACGAGTTCTACAGCGTCTGCTTTCTTGAGCGTGCCGCGGTAGAGGGTGCCAATCAGAACCGTTCCGCGGCCTTTTACGTTCAGGGCACCCTCTAGGGGTACCAAGACAGGTCCAGTGACGTCACGCTGTGGAGGCTCGAAGTAGGTGTCCATTGTTTTGATCAGTTTTCGGACGGACTGCAACCCGTACTCGTGTGTCTCGTCGCCTTCCATGGCCAGCAAGGCCGATCCCCAAATAACCGGTATGGTGGACACGTTCGGAAACTTGTAGCTTTCGAGCAAGTCGCGCAGCTCGAGTTCAACCAGTTCTAACGTGTCCGCGTCCGCGATATCGGCTTTGTTGACGAACGCGATGATACGGGAGACGCCGAGCTGCTTGCAGATGGCCAAGTGCTCCCGCGTCTGCGGCATGCAGCCGTCGTCTGCTGCGACCACTAAGATGGCGCCGTCCATCTGACTGGTCCCGCAGATCATGTTTTTGATGAAGTCCGCGTGGCCCGGGCAGTCGGTGTGCGCGTAGTGGCGCGTCGGGGTGCTGTACTCGAGGTGCGTGGCGTTGATGGTGATGCCGCGTAGTTTTTCTTCGGGTGCGCGGTCTATCTGGTCGTACTTGATGAACTTGGCGTTGCCGTCCAGGGACAAGACGCGGGTGATAGCGGACGTGAGGGTGGTTTTGCCGTGGTCAATGTGACCGATCGTGCCGACGTTAACGTAAGGCCTATCGTCCGTAGATACCTTCGCGGCCTTTTTCACATTTTGGCGTTGAGTGGCGGCGCGTCTCGCGACAACTTCGGTCCCATTTCGGCCCAGTAGACCGAGGTATTGCGAGAAACTGGAATGAATAGCTGTTGCACGCTGCAAGTGGCGGAACATAAACACGGCCGCCGCCATTTTGTCGGCTGCTATGTGTTTGGTAAACAAATGACAGTGCCGTATGTCAGACATCTAAAAATGATTAAATTAGGGTTTTAAATCTCTTAAAAGTTATTTAATTAGAGTTAAATACAAAAATTGATTTGAAAATCTTGATTTTATGAAAGCAATTTCTTTTTAGCTTTCTCTTTCTTTCTTTTTACTGTAAAGTTTAGTAAATTAATGCTTAAAATTTTAGTTTTAGATATGTTATTACTTCATAACGAGTTGCTTTGAATTTTATGATATAAATGACTAAATATTGCGATAAGTTCTTTTTTTATTATGTGGCGATCACAAAGACACCGCTAGGTGGTTAATAAACAACAACAGTAAGTAGGGAGGCTGTAGTGAGGGTGGGCGCAACTCAAAACCTGGAGAGCGTTTGCAATTTAATGGCGGCGCCAGAGGGAGAGGATTCGAGAAAGGATATGCGCCAGTGTTGCCTGCACGAGAGCAGGCACCCGCTCTGTTGCAACTCTGTTGCTCCATGCGCCTTTCCTCCTCTCGCCTCCCATTGCAAGCAACGAGCGCCTTGGCGCAGCCTCTCTCGCTTCCTTCTCGCTCCGAGAATTGCAAACGTCGAGCGGAGAAAGCAAAGTTGCCAGACAAGCAGCAACGTCCAAGATGGCGGAATTTACCATTTTTCGCGTTAAAAAAATACTTAACCTATCGCAACAGAACTGGTGGCTATGAAAAAGTAATCATTTATACCTTGTGTAAATAATTCAAGCACCTTAATGGGCTTTTAAGACCCGAGTTAGGAAAGAAAACGACCCTTTGCCCCATAGACTCCCAGCAAAATTTAGCAATTAAATGGCGTCCATGTCCCGTGATCGCCGATCTAGCAGTTGCACCCACCCTCACTTGAGCCTCCCTAACAGTAAGTAAACAGCAGGATACAGCTGAAATAGCAGGCGGCTGTCTTCCTCAACGTTGTTACTCCTTTTCGCTTTCGGATGTTTTAGATGTAATGGCTCAGCTGTATGATCACAAACTTCCAGAATACGTGTTTACCGAAAAACTCGGCCAAGGGACGTACGCCACCGTCTTTAAAGCCTACCACAAAGTAAGCTGACGGTCCATTCATTGAGCTATTAGCTGAAGGCTGATGCGGGTTTGCCATTTCGTAAAAATTGTACAGCGGCTGTAAAACATATGTATATAATAAACAGACACGTTGTACTCTTTCCCTCCCCAGACGGGTGCGAGGCGGGTAGTGGCCATAAAATGCATCTCCAAGAGTTCCCTGACCAAGTCTGCCACGGAAAACCTGCTGACGGAAATCGCTATTTTAAAGAAGATAAAAAACGAACACATTGTAGAACTCATCGACTTTCAGGTAACAAGCGCGCTGCATGTTTCACTCAGAGCTCCTTATGAGAATGAGTCGATAGTCGAAATTTTAGTGGCAGTTGAATAGGTAAAAATCACATTTGAGAGAATTTTCAGCTTGCTACATCCAGCTGCTTATTTTCAAGGCAGTTTTGCCTACTTAACATCTCATGGGGTGGATTCATTCCCCAAGGCATACTGCAATATCTATCTGTTCTCAACTTTTTCCTCGTAACCGTATGATCATATATCAAGCAGAACACACAAGGATGTGGTTGCAAATCTCATATTAGTTCAGGAGCTATGAGCAAATAAAAATTTTCTTGTATGGCGTCAGGCATAGCCAGCATTTCAAAATCTATTATTTGAGAATAATTTTTTTTTAAAAATTATTTCGGGTGGGAAAAAGAAGCTGGCCCAAAATCCGGTTTGTTGATATAGACATGTAAACAAGGGATGCATACCTTGCCCTTCATCTCTTTACATTCTTTGTTTTAATAAAGTTCACGTCTTGGTGTCCGCTTCCTTGTTTTTGGTTTTCATTTTAGGAAAAAAACACGCTTTGTAAAAGCAAAAGGTAAAATTTAATACTGGGGAACCTTCACCTATAGGTAATTACACCCATGCTTCTCCATAATGCTGGCTCGGTAGAACCGATCGTCCCAGTAAATGTTGAATATTTGGCGTTCGTTGGTTCAATCTGATAGGAAACTTTAGACAAGTGATGAAATAGAAGAGTGTGTCAAATTCTCATGGTCACTGCTGTGTGCACAATCTAATTCCAGTGGAACCAACATTTCATTTACCTCATCATGGAATACTGCTCGGGCGGAGACCTTCACCGTTACATCCGGGCGAACAAACGTCTCCGAGAGTCGATCGTCCGCAAATTCCTGCAGCAGCTCGGTGCGTATGAATATACATATTTCACCGTTGTCAAGTTGGAGCTGTGCATTCAGCCACGGGCAGGCTAGAAAGCCATCTTCCTCGCAACCTTTACTCTCGCCTACGAGCGTTGAGAACTTTCCTAGCTGCGTGCGGGCACTATCATGCTACCCTTCCCAGTTCTGCCTGAGCTACCCTGAACAACTGTTCTGACCTCCACAATCGAAAAGGTTTGCCAGTGTACCCTTTGAAACCAACAGTGGTAGGTTGGTTAAAAACGATTATGGCTTACTGTCGGGGCTTTTTATAGACCTGCTAGGTCTCCGATTGCTGTTCTCAATAGTTCAAAAATATATCTGGGTAAACATCTGGGTACACAAGACAATGATGTGTTACCAAGTTTTCATGCAGACTACCTTCCTATGCCTAATATTGTAATTACGTAACACGGTATATTGGATATGCTTTTGAAATTTCTTGATGTTAAAAAGTCTTCTGGGCCCGACAATATTCCCAGTGCATTTTTATTAAGGTATGCTGAATGGGTCTCAAAATATCTGTTTGTTTCGTTTTCAAAATCAATGTACAAAGGCCAGGTTCCAGACAACTGGAGAACTGGCAGAGTCAAACCACTTCATAAGAACGGAAGCAGACAGTGCAGTGGAAACTGAGTCCAATTTTATTGACTTCAACTGCGTGTAAACTTCTTGAACATATAAGGTATACTCATTTATCAGCATTCCTGGATGAACATAACGTTTTGTCTAAGCATCAGCATGGCTTCGGAAAAAGTTTCTCCACATATACTCAACTAATTCAGACAATTCACGATTTTTCCTGGGCCATTAACAACAAAAAACAAATTGATACTAGTATTTTTATGGATTTCTCGAAAGCAATCGATAAGGTTTCCCATAATAAATTAATATACAAATGAGACAAAATATGTAAGAACACAAAGTTAGTAAAATGGATTTCAGCTTATCTCTCAAACCGTCAACAGTACATAGTTTTTGATGAGCATTGTTCTAACCGACTTTCTGTTGACTCTGGTGTTTTAAAGGGATCTGTGCTGGGCCCTCTTCTTTTTTTGCTGTATATTAACGACATAGTACATAATGTTCCTGTAAAAATCAAATTATATGCTGATGACTAAAGAATTTACTCAAAAGGAGATAGGGCTTCAGATCAACTTTTGTTAAACAAGGCATTTCAAAATATTGCGTCAGGGTGCACAGATCGGCAAATGACCATTAACCCCTTAAGTGCCTTGGTTGAGCTGAGCTCATCAACCACTTTCTGGCTAAAAATGCCGTGGACGAGCTCAGCTCGTCCAGTGGTTTTTTCCGGTTGCCCTCAATTCCACAGACGAGCTAGGCTCGTCCGAGTAGTTTTGCGGCGCTGATCATAGATGGCAGCACTCGTATTAGTTGGCAAATATTTTTTTCGCCTCCGCTGCTTTTTGCGTAATAAACTTTTCAAATTTTATGTGTAGTATAGAGGAGTAACAATTCAAAATAAAAAAAATCGGGCACTTTTAGGTTACTTTTGGAAAAAAAAATTGGCACTTAAGGGGTTAACTTTGAAAAAATGTTTTTTATGAGACTTACTAACAAAAATCATCCTTTCAAGTTTGTTTACTATCATATTGATAACTTCCTATCAGAGGTCACACAATATAGATGCCTTGGACTATGTATCACTAATAATATCTTACTTGGACAAAACAATTTGGCTGCGTAACGTCCAATGCCCTACGGAAGTTGTTCTTTCTGAGAAAAACGTTAAAGCTTTCTTCCCCTTCCTCGCATCTTCTCACACATAGAACTACAGTCGTAACATTACTAGGTTATGCTGCAATTGTTTTGGATCCTTTCACTAAGATTAACATTAATAAATTTGATAAAGTACGGAAAAAGGCCGCTCGGATTAATTATGATAACTTTGGACAAGCCTCCGTAACCAAACTTTTAACTAGAGCTAATTTACTGACTCTGAGTGAAATCGGCGTTCTCGGCTAAAATATTTGTACCAATTAATGGGCATTATAGGATAGACTTGTCCGAATTAATCACTTTCTCATCAGGATATGCTACTCGGCAAGGGCATGCTCTAACGATAACTCCTTTTCAATCATATAATATTTGCTTTAATCCTTTGGGGTCATCTGTCGGATGTCTCTCGCCAAATAAATATTCCCGTTCTGGACAAGTGTCGGGGCTCTTCTGACAGGCCCATTTGTCCTTTGTGGTTAACTGTCGGGCACCTCCTGAGAATTTCAACTTGCGCCATCTCTCGTCGGGTATGCATACTTAGTTTTTTTTCTGCCTCCAACAAATACCATAAGAGGTGCAAAACTTTTTTTGTTTTGTTTTGCTAGATTTATGGGGGTGTATTTTGCGCCCACTTTAAGTGTTCAACATGGCAGCCTTTACTTCGTCCGCATTTTATGGACTGTGCAGTCTGCAGTGACAGGAAAGTCGAAGGGCAAAGACGTGAAACTGTTTTCAGCTGTTAAACCTGCGCTCGACATCCTGCCTTGCACCCGGGCATTTGCTTCAAAAGTGTCATACGTGGCACAAATACCACTAGTATAGTTCAATAATTCAAATGCAAATATCCAGGAGAATGCAGAGTTATTTCGAACTGAACATGTTGATCGTAGAATGTAATGATGTTAAATTTGAGATGACTCATTGATTTGCTAATTCTAATTCTTCAATTCTGACCAGAGGGGGCCTAGAAGGAGTAAACTCACATGACCCCGAAAGGTT